GAGAGAGGTATGCCTTAGATGCAGAGGGGGAGATGAGTAGACCCAGTGACAAAACCTAGATCTTAACTGTTAAGGAAATTATAGATGCTTCAATTTCAATGCTGGTATGTGTGGTCATTCTCAGTGAGTCCTTTTTCCCCCCTATTATAAAGCTCTAAGTCCAAGGAGCTTTAAGGTATTGTTCAAGATTGTTATCTGAGACAGCTAGACCCTTGAAAACAATTACTATTAAAATACCGGGGCTAAGAAAGTACACAGATGACAAGCAACATCCCTTATAGTATATTCCAAGCAGTTTCTGAGCGTGCCACAGCTGGGGAAGAAAATCACTGTGTGGCTCACAATCTCAGAGACAAAGAGGACCCCATTACCCAGCAGGGCAGTGATCAAAAGCAATCCATGAAATACTAACTAAAGATACAGAATAAATACATTCCTGGAAGGCTAACTCGTGGCTATTATCTCTTTTGGATTCCCAGCTTGCTTTGAAGACCAAGGAATGCTTGATTGCAGTTCATTTGAGCAGAAAAATGGGTTCTTAAGTTAAAGATAAAGAAGGAAGAGAGGCTATACACACTCAAGATGGTCTGACAGATTGAGGGCTGTGTCTGAGAGCAGGGCATCATCACCCAAGGAGAAACACCAAGACAACAAAATTTCTGGACTTTATTCAAACCAGCTGCCTTGCTTTGGGGCTGGACTCTTCTTGCTCGTGGCTAGTTTGATATTTAATCAAATTTTGGATTTTCATTTTTATTGCCTAGTGGAATAGGACACAGTTTAAGAACCTAAGTATTCATTACACTCGGCTTGTCACACACTCAGAATCTGGTCTCCTTTGGAATATACTGTAAGAGACATTGCTTATCATCAGTGCATTTTCTTGGCCCTGGCATTTAAACATGTTACATTAAATATTATACTAAATTTAATGAATTACATGAAATACAACCACAACAGTACTAACAGCTAAAATCTGGATGTCAGCCTGGTGCCAGGATCGCGCCCAGTGCATTCGTTGGGTTCTCATATTTAGTCCTCACAACGTAACAATATGAAGCACATATAGGGCTTGATACATGCTAGTTACTGCTTCTAGTGCTTTCCTAATATTAATTTATACACTGTTTACAACAGCCCATTATCTGAGCAAAGACAATGCAAAGGCCTGCCTAGAAAAAATATTCTAGAACTAAGATTTCATAATGAAGACACTGACGCACAGAGGCAAATGAACTTAACCAAGGCCACACACAGCTAGTAGGTGGCAGAACTAGGATAGAAATTTAGATGATCCTGTGAAGTGGGCCTCTGAATACTGCCATGCAGAAGAGGCACAAACAAAGATGCAGAGAGGTGAACTGATTTGCCCAAGGTCACAGAGCTAGATCTAAATCAGAGTGTAACCTCAAAGACTGTGCTCCCATCCACCCTCCTGAACTGCCACAGTTTGGGCCAGAAAAAGGTTTTTCTGGCCGGGTGTGGTGGCTCACGCCTATAACCCCAGCACTTTGGGAGGCCGACGCAGATGGATCACCTGAGATCAGGAGTTCAAAACCAGCCTGGCCAACATGGCAAAAACCCATCTCTACTAAAAATACAAAAATTAGCCGAGTGTAATGGCATGTGCCTTTAGTCCCAGCTACTTGGGAGGCTGAGGCAGGAGAATCGTTTGAACCCGGGAGGCGGGGGTTACAGTGAGTCAAGATCGTGCCACTGCACTCCAGCCTGGGCGACAGAGTGAGACCCTGTCTCAAAAAAAAAAATTAAAAAATAATAAATGGTTTTTCCTTTTGTTAACTTTTACCAGATGAAACTTAAGAATTTGAGGAAATACAGTTATTGCATGATTGATACATTCAATTTTCAGACAATGCACAGGCCTGCCTGGAAAAAAATATCCAGATTCTCAGATTTTACTTCTAAAACCACTTGTGCACTCTTCTGTTTCAGAGGAGACACCATGATCTCATGCCTATGTCTACATAACCAAAAGGAAATAAGACAAGGTTTCTAAAACCCTCTGACAACATACCCTGAATTATTAATACTGGATACGAAGGCATTATCAGTACAGTGAATCTTAAAGATCTGAGACGCACATGTTAGGTTTGTGGATTATGCCCAGCACAGGCTTCTTTCTTTGCACCACCCACGCATGAAGCAGTGCTAGGATGGGGGAAGAGTGTGTGCCAGTGCCTCAGCCTGAATGTGAATCAGAATGCATGCCAAAGCCAAACACAAACGCTTTTGCATTATCCATGGCTTCGTTTTCCTCATACCCTTCCCCTGGTGTATTAAACGGGCTCCAGGAGTGGAGCACATGCATTTATTCACACATGTCTTTCTGCAAAACTCAAACCTCTTTATGTCTCAATGAGAAATCAAGCACCCGACATTTCCTTTAGAAGCAAATTCATAAAGAATTCAAGTTAGAAAACAGGACACTATGAAAAGCATAAATTTAAGAGCAATACCTTGATATGGAAGCCACTCTCCAGTCTTGATTTGTTGATAAAATTATACTGTGGTACTCCCCAACCAATTTCACCAACGTACTCATGTTTATATTTTGCTGGCAAGCTTCTATTTGAGGCAGGCCTCCATAAATATCTGAGATCTCCAGTTTTTTCTAACGCCGGATGCTGTTCTCCTACATAGCAGGTGTGCTGATGAATTTTGGGTAAATAATCCTTTATGTAGTCTGGACCTTTAAAAGACAAAAAGTACTTAAAATTTCTCCACACTTTATTCTAAGATACTTTTGTTAATGTAACCATTGAAATACTAATAGCCAATAATTATATGGCACTTACTATATTCTAGGTTCTATTATAAGCCTTTTAGACATGTTAATTC